CACTCACCGGATAAAAGAGACCGCCTTGGTTTTCCTCTCTGGACCATCGGGAAGTCGTGTGAGAAGGCCCTGCTCCTGTGAGGCTCCGGAGCTTCCAAAACTCATGCAAGATTGATTTTTATCAGCCTTATCATGTTTGGAGGCTGTGGGCGAGCAGGTTTCTCTTGTGCCACTTCCAGAGGGTCCAGAGGCCTGGCGTTTCACCAGAAATGACATGGCGCATCACCTGTGACATGTCATAGGCCCACCATCTCTGAGAACATCTGGTTGACCACTGTAATGTTGAACTAGGATGGGTCTTGGGTTGAACATCAGGACCGGGTTTGCATTGTTCTGACCTTAGAGTCTTATATGGTTACAATTACACCTTTTCTCTTGATTTTATTCCTCGGTATGGAGAGGTCAAGGGCAGGCTATATCTTCTACTCATTTTATTTGGTCCAGTGTTTCTTCTCCCTGTGTTTTTGGTGGCATCTAAGCCAGCGTTGGCATCAGTTACTATATTCTGCATTTAGCAAGAGCCAGGAAGGGAATCTAGCAATTTGATCCATGTTTAGTTTAGTAATTTAGTTTAGTTTAGTTTAGTTTAGTTTATTGTCATTGCACTTCGTACAGTGAAATTAAATGCCATCTTCAATGTACACCATATGTAAGAAAACTATAAAAAATAAAACACAAATACACATCCTTCACATTCTATACATTGAATTGAAAACCCCTGCTATTGCATTAATATTGCACTATACAGTAGAATTCAAAAGAGTTACTGCCCTGGGATAGAAGCTGCTTTTCAGCCTATTTGTCCTTGTTTTTATTGTCCTGTACCATCTGCCAGATGGTAATAGTTCAAAAAAAAAAAAAGGAGAGGGGGTGCCCAGGATGAGATGGATCTTTAAGGATGTTTGAACTTTCTTAAGGCAGTGGGAGCTATAAAGCTCTTCCAGTGAGGGGAGAGGGCAACCAATGATCCTCTGGGCAATGACCTTCACCCTCTGGAGCACTGTCCTATCTACCATTGTGCAATTGGCAAACCACACAGAGGTGCAGTAAGTTAACATATTCTCTATGGTGCAACGGTAGAAGGTCGCCAGCCGTTTTTCATTCAGTTGTTGTTTTCTGAGAAGTCTCGGGTAGTTCTGGATGAGAATTACTTGGATGGTAGTTCTTGAACATGAGAGCCACCCAGATGTGGAAGCTCCAACTCCCAAAATGAGTCAGCCACATTGTCCTTGCTGAAAATTGTAGGAAGAGAAGCCCACACACCTACAAGTCATCCAGGCTGATGTAAAGACTGTTTTTCAGTTGTCCTAGATTTTTAGAGTGTTCTTACAGTGCAGTCATCCTCACTCCTGTTTATAATAAAACACTTTATAGGGGATAAAAACTTGGATAAACTGTTAAAAGAATTAGAAAGCAGGAGATAGGCAACATCTTCCGTCTGTAACAGAGTCCTTTGGCAGTTCCAAGAAGATTCCACAGCCCTGACTCTGAAGGCACAATGGCTCTCAGAAAGAGTGCTAAGGACCAGATGACTGCAAAGAAATACAATCCTTTCATTCCCTACCCCCACACACATTCTGTCAGAACCTGTCCTTCTATCCCCCCGCCATCCAATCCCATCTGATGAAGGCTCTTTGGATGAGAAGCAAAACTGCTACTACTACTACTTCTACTAGTAGTAGTAGTACTACTACTACTACTTCCTCTTCCTCCTCCTCCTCCTCCTCCTTCTCTTCTTCTCCTGCTTCTCCTCCCCTTCTTCCTCCCTCTTCTCTTCCTCTCCTTGTCCTTCCCCTTCTACCTCTTCCTCCTCTTCCCCTCCTCCCTCCTCCTCCTCCCTCTCCCCCTCCTCCTTTTCTCCTTCTTCAAAAAAAAGTCTAGTTGCCTTTTGAGATAAAAGTCAACAGAATTCAAGGGAGGATTTGGATTTTGTTTGTGGCTTTGCAGAGATTCTAGGCTTATCCCTCTTTTGACCCTGCCCCCAGGTTCTGCCACTCCTTCCTCTACATTTTCCTAGCTTGTCCTACTTTTGCAATTCCTCTTCATTATTAAACATTTGTACATAATGCTGCTCTGTGTATGTGTGTGTGTGTGTGTGTGTGTGTGTGTGTGTGTGTGTGTGTAACCTGATTTATGTTTATCTGTTCCTGCACATTTTCTCTGCTTTTCCCAGGCTCCACTAACAAAGGTGCACTTTTCTATGTGCAGGTTCCAAATGAGCCCCCATTTTTCCCTTTTCAAATCCCTTTGAAGATGAAAGGAGTATAGAAAAAGAGACATATTGTTGATGTCAATCACGAGAAAGTGTGTGTGGGGAGGGGGAATGTTTGCCCCATATATACTCTCAGCTGCTAAATCATGCTTGGTCAAGCATTAATTGTCTGCTTCAGAGGACAGGAAGAAAGGCTTCACTTCTAGCAGCAGAAGAAAAAGCAGCGAGATGGGTTAGAAAAATCTCATGAAATACTATATAATAGTATTCTGTATTCTGTTTATTCTTGATCCTTACCGACCTTAAACGGCATAAAAATTGCAAAATCCAGCACTTGTTGGGAAAGGTCTCAGTTGTACGTTTAAGGAAAAGTCTAATTGTCTATGGAGATTCTCAGTCATCCATTCATAGGTGTCCCAGGGGTGCTTTTTTCAACAGGCAACTGGACTTTCTTGTTCCTTTCTTTGAAGAGATTTCGCTTCTCATCCAAGAAGCTTCTTCAGCTCTGACTGGATAGTGGGGAACAGAAGGACCAATACTCCTTGCAGACAGCTGGTCCTTTGCATTTTAAGGAAAAGCTTTATTATTAAAAATCCATGGACAACATTTGATGGGGAATAGTACAATTTTACTAAGGAGCGAGAGTAATAAGGCACCTGAAGCTTGAAACAATTCGAACATTTCAGTTTTGCCATCTTCTTTAGAGTTTAGGTCAAATGTTCAAAAAATGTGGCATCTATAAATGTATTTGTATATAAAAAAGTGAATGTTATGATATGTAGATTTTATTTGTAGTTAGTCCCTCAGTTAAGTCTCTTAACTAAGACCTGTCACAAACACAGGTCTTCTAAGGAATAGAGAGCCAGTTTGGTCTAGTGGTTAAAGCACCAGGTTACAAAGTGGGAGAACTTAAGTTATAATCCTGGTTTAGGCATGAAAGTCGGCTGGGTGATTTTGGCTCAATCACCAAGAGACGGTGAGTTCTAGTCCCACCTTAACCATGAAAATCAGCTTGGGTCAATCACCAGGAAATTGTGAGTTATACACCCACTTTAGGCATGAAAGCCAGCTGGGTGACATTGACCCAATCTCTGGGAGACTCTGAGTTTTAGTCCTGCCTTAGGTGTGCAAGCCAGCTGAGTGATGTTGGGCCAATAACCAGGAAATGGAGAGTTCCAGTCCCATCTTAGATGTAGAAGACATCTGGGGGACTTTGGGCCAATCACCAGAAGACAATGGTTTATATTCCCGCATTATGCATGAAAGCCACCTGGGTGATCTTCTACTCTCACTTTAGGCATAAAAACTGGCTGGTTAACTTTGGGATAATCATTCTCTCTCAGCCCAACTCACTTCAAAGAATTGTTGCTGTGGGGAAAATAGGAGGGAAGGAAATGTGCTGGATATATTTGCTGCCTTGTTGGGTTATTTGCAAAAATAATAAAGGTAGGATATAAAAAAACCCACAAACAAATAAGTATATTGCCATGGTGGTGGTGCAGTAGTTAGAGTGCAGCATTGCAGGCTACTTCTGATGACTGCTGATTGCCAGCAGTTCAGCGGTTCAAGTCCCACTGGCTCAACGTTGACTCAGGCTTCCATCCTTCCGAGGTGGCTAAAATGAGGACCCAGATTGTTGGGGACAAGAGGCTGACTCTGTAAACCACTTAGAGATGGCTGTAAAAGCACTGTGAAGCAGTATATAAGTCTAAGTACTACCGCCACTGCTATATTTGCTGCCTGTAGTAGAATCCTCCCTAAAAGAGCCTCAGAGTTCTTGATATCTACAGAACATACTTTCTATGTCATCTGAACATCTGATGATTTCAAGACTCCCCAACTCCTGGTGATTGGCCCAACATCACCCAGTTGGCTTTCATGCCTATAGTGGATTTATAGCTCACCATTTCCTAGTGATTGACCCAAAGTCATCCAATTATAGAATTGTTCTCTGAATTCTTCTGCATAACTGGAAGTGTCCTACTTTGAGTCTAAATTTACAGAAGTTATTATTCTCCTGCAAAACCAGATGTGGTTGAACCTATTCTATTGCTTCTACCACTTCCGGTTAATTAATTAAACAGCAGAACAGTAGTTGTGGGTGCTCCATCACTGGAGGTTTTTTAAAAAGAGACCAGAAAACCATTTTTCCAGGAATGGTATAGGGCAGCGATGGTGAATCTTTTTGGTACTGAACTCCCAAACTGGAATGTGCATGCATGTGTGCATGGGAGCATCAGAAAACCAAAGAACCAGCTGGCTGGTGTGCAAAGGCCTGTTTTATTGGCCATTTGGGGGCTATTTTCAGGCCGTTTTTCGAGCCATTTTTGGCATGGAAAATGGCCCACAAAATTGCCCAGAAAACAGCCATTTGGAGGGGCGTTGGGGGGATGTTTTCAGGCCATTTGGGGGGCATTTTGGCATGTAAAATTGCCTGAAAACTGCCCAGAAAATGGCCCCCAAAACAGCCCCCCAAACGCACTGTTTTTTGGACATTTTTCTGGCCCTTTTCTAGCGCTCCAGCACTCATGTAGACCAGCTGGCTGGCATGCCAGAACCCAGAAGGGCAGCTGGCGATGGTGCACGTATCCACTGAGAGGGCTCTCCGTGCCACCTCTGCCATGCATGCCATAGGTTCACCATCGCAGGGATAGAGCTTCCTACTTGCGCAAGGATTGGACTAGAAGACCTCTGGGGCCCCTTCCAACTCTGTTATTCAGGCCCTTCCCCTTGGTCTCCTGCTCCTCTTTCTGCTGAGTTCTCTCTCCCTTTGGCTCTCCTCCTCCAGGTGATCTGTACCTTGGTGGCAGCTTTTCTCCATTTTTTCTTCCTCTCCTCCTTCTGCTGGGTGCTGACCGAAGCTTGGCAATCGTACATGGCCGTGACGGGAAGACTACGGAACCGGATCATCCGTAAACGTTTCCTGTGTCTCGGATGGGGTAAGCGTCCCTCGCTCCAACGGTTGGGAAAGTGGTGGTCTATGTTCACAATGTAGCCTATACGTAAATGTGAATAGGAATGTGATCTAAAGGGGGGGTGGACTTCAAACATTTTAGCAGTGGGGTCTCTGCCCGCTTTCAGGGCTCCGGCATCCACCCCTCATTCAAATCGTGAGTCTCTGGCCACATCTCTCAGATGTAAAATAACATTTATTAGGAGTGAACATGCCGGTGCTACCTGGGTGTAGCCGACCCTGAGACACATCATTCATTTCCCCCTTGATCCTGGTCTTCCCCCCAATCCCTGGATGTGTATTCTCCAATGGGACACATCCCTAGCCAAGAGTAATAATCTTGTGCGCCAGAAGCTTCAGTTTCCTGGAAATTATCTATGAAGCATTTAAGGAATGCACTGCTTCCCCCGCTCCCTTTCTGCTGGCAACTCTAAAAGACCAGAGAAATATTTTTCAGTTGACACCCAATTGCTGGGTGGGCATGGCCTTGGTGGGTGTGGCCCAGTTGGCCTCCTGCACCATGGCAGGGGAGGAAGGTTGTTTGTGCCCTTCCCGGGCTCCAGAAGCATTTCTCAAGCCTCCAGGAGGGCAAAAATAGCCTCCCTGGGCTCCGGAGGCTCTCTGGAAGCCAGAAACGGGCCCATTTCTGGCGTTTCCAAACTTCCGGGAGGCCCGTTTTTCACCCTCCCTGAGCCTCTGGGCATGCCCTACACTTACCTGCATCCAAACCGGCTGCGTGGGGACTCCTGGGAGGGGAGGGGCAGGGTGCGCGGGGCCAGCCAGGAGTAGCATTTGGGAGTTCTTTGAACTGCACAGGATCTTAGCTAGAGGTTTTCCCGAACCTCTGCAAGCCCCAAGTAGCCCACACCTGGATCTAAATCACTGCAGCTCCTAACCTAATGACATGGTTGTTAAGTCATTCACGCTTCCCCGTGGACTTTGCTTGTCGAAAGATTGCAAAAGGGATTCACATAACCACAGGGCCCTGCAACCATCATAAATATAAGCCAGTTGCCAAGCCTTTGAATTTTGATGATGTGACCATGGGGATACAGCAACGGTCATTCATGTGAAAAAAATTGTCCTAAAGCCCTTTTTGTGCTTTGTCAGCTTTTTCAGTAACTTCCAACAGTCAATCAATGAATGGTTGTAAGTTGAGGACCACTTGTATTTAATTGGTGCTAGATAAGATTCAGCAGAAATGAAGAAGGATTTGACTTAGACCATTTGTGGGAACGTAATGATTCTAGGCTGATTACTTGCTTAACTCTGCCCCTCTGACTCTGCCGGTGCTTCTCCCACTGTCTCCGCAGTCAAAAATCTCAAGAATTAGCAACCTTATCTTGAAATTTTAAAGGGGTTAATACTAAATATTGTGTCACTGGTCCTTTAGATTCCTGGGTAGAAATCTTTCCTAACATTTGGGATGTTTGGACGTGCAATAGTCAGTGTCTCTGGGGTGCATCAACAGAAGGACAGAATCAAGATCACATGAAGTATTAGTACTTCTTTATAATGCCTTGGTAAGATCACACTTGGAGTGTTGCATCCAGGTTTGGTCACCACAATGCAAAAAAGATGTGGAGACTCTAGAAAGAATGCAGAGAAGAGCAACAAAGAGAAAATAATGAAATGTGCAGAAATGAGTAGATTAACAATGACAATTAGAGAACATGAGGAAAAAGAGTATGATAAGATTTGGGATTTATTTTATGAATGGTTAGATAGAAAAATAAGAAATTGAAATATGTGGTAATAGTTATGCTATATTATAATTGATTAATTTTGAATGTGTAGGAGAATGAATATAGTAAGAATGAGATATGTTTTTAAAAGATAACAATTTTAATGTTAATAATAATATAATCTTTGAACAATATGATATAAATTGTTGATTAGAATGATTTATAAATATACAACAAGAAATGTATAACATTATTATGCGCACAAGATATACATACCCAACCAACACACTATAAAATTGAAAGATGGTTTTATTTGCTGTCTTTGTTGTTAAAATTAAAAAAAAAACTTTTTCAAAAAGAAAAAAAGAGAAGAGCAACAAAGAGGATTAGGGGACTGGAGGCTAGAAGATACGAAGAACAGTTGCAGGAACTGATTAGTCTAATGAAGAGAAGGACTAGGGGAGACATGATAGCAGTGTTATTATATCTGAAGGGTTTCCACAAAGAAGAGGGAGTCAAGCTATTCTCCAAAGCACCTTTAGGCAGGACAAGAGGCAATGGATGGAAGCGAATCAAGCAACCTAGAACTAAGGAGAAATTTCCCGACAGTGAGAATGTCTTGTCTCCAGAAGTTGTGAATGCTCCATCGCTAGAAGTTTTTGTGAAGAGACAGCCATTTGCCTAGAATGATATTATAGGGTGAGCAGTAGGTTGGATTACAAAGACCTCCAAAGTCTCTTCAAACTCTGTTATTCTTGGGAAGGCTAGGAAGCCCAAGATGGTGAAAGCAAATAGCTCAGGGATAAGTGAATCAATCATTTAATGAAGAAGAAAATTGATGCTCCTCCTAGACATTTTGAACAGATTGGATACAGATATGTTTAGCCTTGAGAAGAAATTGTTAATTGGGATACAATATCATCCCCTTAAATGGATGTCAAAGGCTGTCTTTAGCGAAGGATAAACACAGCTACAAACTAATGCTAAGAACAGGAACCACAGAATTGATAATTGGCAGTTACTGAGCAGAGATCACCATGACACAACTGGTGTTCTCTCCAGACAGATTTCAAGTCAAGTCCTGCATTCTATTTTGAGGTCTACCTTCTTAGAAAAGAAGAAGACTTGAATTTCCTATTAGCCGTAGCCCCCATATATTTTATATGGACCAATGTTCACCATCTACCTCCCCACTCTTTGATTCAGATAAGACTGATATGGAGAAGTGTGGATTTGGGTATTTTAGAAGAGATGGCTATGGTGGGAAGGATTAAGTTTAGATTTAGATTAACAGAGTTGGAAGGGACTTTGTAGGTCATCTAATCCAACTCTCCACCCAAGCAGGAGACCCTACACCATTGCTGACAAATGGCAGTCCAGTCTCTTTTTGAAAGCCTCCAGCGATGAAGCTCCCACAACTTCTAAAGCCAACTTCTGTTCCACTGGTTGATGGTTCTCACTGTCAGAAAATTTCTCCTTATTTCCAGGTTGAATCTTTCCTTGATCAGTTTCCATCCATTATTCCTTGTCTGGCCTTCAGGTGCTTTGGAAAATAGCTTGACCCCTTCCTCCTCTCTGTGGCAGCCCCTCAACTATTGGAAGATGCTATCATGTCTCCCCTGGTCCTTCTCGTCACTAGACTAACCAAGCCCAGTTCCTGCAACCGTTATTCTGCTATACTCTCCTGAATGAAAGGATACTACAAATTTTGTTGTTGTTTATTATGGTTTGAGGGGAAAATCTTGGGGGGAAAAAACCCAGGAAATTCCTTTCCACTGCAATCATTACTGGGACAATCACTACTGATTTTTTACATTCTGCTTGGTCTAACACACAATCCAGCCAAATCAATGTTTTTCTCTCTCTAGAGACTCTCATTGTTTACCGTTGCCTGGTTTTATTGAATGAAAGGATTTTAATTTATTTACTCTTGGTCTTACCTCATGTAATCCTGGCTTAACTGTCATTTAATATCCTTAATGTAATAACCGTCAACTGGGAAGACGGTTGCCAGATTCAACCAGGGTAGTTGATATGCCTCTGGCCAAAAAAACCCTTTTATTTAAAAACCTACTGACAAAAGAACTGTATTGTGTTGGAAAGAAGAAATTAAAGGCCTCCGACAAGAAAAATGGCCATGTTTACAACCGAAAAATGCACCTTTGGGACAACCGAAATATCACTTGCAGAACCTGCTTCTAAATAAGATTGGACTTCTGGACAAGTTTCCATTCTCCTACAGGTAGTCCTCGACTTACAACAGTTCATTTAGTGACCATTTCAAGTCACTAAAGAAAAGCGGCCTATGATCGTTTTTCACACTTACAACCCCACAGTCACGTGATCAAAATTTAGATGCTGGTAAACTGACTGATATTTACAATGGTCGCCATTTTGCAACTTTCTGGCGAGTGAAGTCCATGGGGCAGCCAAATTCACTTTACAACTGTGTTACTAACTAAGCAACTGCAGTGATTCACTGAACAAGGGTAGCAAAGAAGGTCATAAAATGGGGCAACATCCACTTAACAACTGTCTCGCTTAGATACATAAATTTGGGGCTCCGTTGTGGTCGAACGTTGAGGGCTACCTTTATTTATTTATTATTTTTTTATTTCAACATCCTTAGCTGATGGACTATGGTCGTACCTGGTTATTAGTCTTACATGAGATACCTTTCAAATGTCAGAGCCTTGAGGTCCAATCGGGAAGTTTTTGAAACAAAAAATCCCCTGAAAGAAGAAGCTAATGGTAAATGTCCACAGGGAAACTAAAAATATTTTCACCAGAAAAGAAGACCTGGATCTCAAAGGTTGAACTGTGGAATCCTTGGTGCTCTCTGAAGTTGGTTGGTTGCTTGCAGATGTTTCTTTCCTAATCTGGATAGCATCTTCAGTACTAGAAGGCAGTGGGGTTAGCAGAAAGGAGGAGGAGGAGGAGGAGGAGGTGGAGGAGGAGGAGGAGGACTGTGGGGTCCTTGGTGCTCTCTGAGCTTGGTTGCTTTTTTGCAGATGTTTCATTATCAAACTAGGTATCATCATCAGTGCTAGAAGGGAGTAGAGTTTGCAGAGAGGAGGAGTAGGAGGAGGGGGAAGGAGGACCGTGAGGTCCTTGGCGCTCTCCGAGCTTGCTTGTTTTCTTGCAGGCGTCTCATTACCCAACTAGATAACATCACCAGTGCTAGGGAGTGGGTTTTGAAGAGTGGAGGAGGAGGAGGAAGAGGAAGACTGTGGAGTCCTTGGTGCTCTCTGAGCTGGGTTGTTTGCTTGAAGTGTGGGTGTTTCAGTCTTAGTGTTTAGGTTGTGTAGTACTGCTGTCCTGGGTGCTTTTGCTAATTCCGGCTCTTCCTAATTTCACAAAAAAATTTGGAAAGCTTCAAGCATAGTTTCAGCTTGAAGATTGTGGGAATCCTAGGCCAAGCCAAGTCCCCAAAACATTAGGGAATTCTTGGGAGTTTGGCACACGGACAAATCAGCCATCCATAGACATATAGGGATAAACCACATTTACACACCATTTGAAGGAGACAGTAAAGAAAACCCAAGAAAGAGACAAACAACCAGCACACATCATCTCCAGCAGCTAACACCCAGATAACCAGGGATCAGGCAGAAAATCAATAAATCACCCTAATCAAGAGGAAAAAGCATACTCCTGCAAACACTGGCAGAACAAGCTAGTGTACAAATTTCTTATGTGTCCAATCACACTTGGCCAATAAAAGAATTCTATTCTGTTCCGTTCCGTTCCGTTCTATATGAACAGAGAGCAAACACCACTCTCGCCAGCACTGATGCTGTTACATAGCTAGGTAATGAAACATTGGCAAGCAAAGAACCAAACTCAGAGAACACCAAGGACTCTACAACTAAAAAAACCCTCCGTGGACGTGTCTCACAGTATTCTCAGGGTCACAACAACAACGATGACAACAACAGCAACAACAAAAGTCAATAATTTTACCTAAAGTCTCAAGCTCTTTTTTTACCTCCTTCCCTCTGTAAATTCTTTGAATTATTCCAAAGCTGATTGTTCTAGGAATTAACTAATTATAGGGGGAAGCAACATGTTTTTTTTTGTCATTTAAAGCAGCTTTCCCAATTCGGCACAAATCTATTCTCAAGATAATTATAATTCCTGCAATCTCTCAGACGGCGCAAATCAGTGTTGTGTTGAATGAAAATCCCACAGTTCATAATCCTAACATCTGTTTGTGTTTTGTAACTGCTGTGTTTGTTTGTTTGTTTGTTTTATAATGGAGGAGTTTAATGTTTTTCAATGGTTTTATGTTGTAAGCCATCCAGAGTCGTTGGATATGGGGCGGGCAGCAAATACATTTTATAAACAAAATGAAATGAAATGACATAAAAATAAAATAATAATTAAAATAAAATAAACTGGTGAAGTGAAATGAAATAATAAAATAAAAATAATAAAATGAAGTGAAATGAAATGAAATGAAATAAATAATAATAAAATAATAAAATAAACTAGTGAAATGAAATGAAATAAAAAACAATGAAATGAAATGAAATAAAATAATAAAATGAAGCAAAATGAAATAAATAAAAAAACAAAATAAAATAAACTAGTGAAGTGAAATGAGATGAAATAAATAATAATAAAATAAAATAATAAAATAATAAAATGAAGTGAAATGAAACAAATAATAATAAAATGAAATAAAATAAAATAAAAAATGAAGTGAAATGAAATGAAATGAAATAAAAATAAAATAATAAAGTAAAATTACAGCAATTTGGTGATCGTTTGAAGTGTCAATAGCACTAAAAAAAAGTGACTTGTGACCATTTTTCACACTTCCGACCATTGAGGCATTTCCCCCCCCCATGGTCATGTGATCAAAAATTTTCAGTTGCTTGGCAACTGATTCCTGTTTATGACAGTCTTAGTGTCCCTGGGTCACATGACTCCCCCAAAGTCCATGGGGGAAACCAGATTCACTTAACAACTGAGTTACTGACTTAACAACAGCAGTGATTCACTTAACAGCTGTGGCAAGAAAGATCATAAAATGGGGGCAAAACCCACTTAAAAAATGTCTCGTTTAGCAACATTAATGTTGGACTCCCAATATTGGTCATAACATCCATACATACATACCAAGAAGGGGCAAAATGGATTTGGAGGAGGTGATAAGGGAATTAACAGATAATCAGAGTTGGAAGGGTCCTTATAGGTCATCTAGTCCAACCCCCCGCCCAAGCGGGAGAACCTACACCATTTCTGACAGGTGACAGTCCAGTCTCTTCTTGAAAGCCTCCAGGGATGAAGCTCTCACAACTTTCGAAGGCAACTTCTGTCCCATTGTTGATTGTTCTCACCGTCAAAAAGTTTCTCCTTATTTCCAGGTTGAATCTCTCATTGATCAGTCTCCATCCATTATTCCTTGTCTGGCCTTCGGGTGCCTTGGAAAATAACTTGACCCCTTCCTCCTCTCTGTGGCAGCCCTTCAGATATTGGAAGACTGCTATCATGTCTCCCCTGGTCCTTCCCTTCCCTAGACTAGCCAGGCCCAGTTTCTGTAACCATTCATTGCATGTTTTAGCCTCCAGTCTCCTCATCATCCTGGTTGCTCTTCTCTGCATTTTTTCTTGAGTCTCAACATCTTTTTTATAATGTGGTGACCAAAACTGGATGCAGTACTCTAGGTGTGGAATACGAGTACTCTTGTTCTCAAGGAAAATTCTTGTCTGTTTCAACAAATCTTGGTGCAACTATTTTTTTTTAATCGTGTCTCATGACATTTTCACTGATTCTCTTTAGGTCTCCCTGCCTTGGTGGTTGCAATCTCTGTGGGATTTACTAAAGCCAAGGGCTACGGCACCAGGAACTAGTGAGTAAGCAATTCCTCCTTTCCCTTTTTGAATAGCAACAGGAGTAATTCAGATTTGATACCAGGTAGCATTGCCATTGAGGAATAGTTATTTATTTCTATTTATTTATCTGATTTGTCGATTGCATACAAGATAATAGGTATAAGTATAAACATGAGTAAGAATACAGGAAATAGGTACGAATAAATGGGGACAATAGGACAGGGACGGTAAGCACGATGGTGCACTTATGTACACCCCTTACAGACCTCTTGGGAATGGATATTCTCTCCCTTCTTTTCCTTCCTTCCTTCCTTCCTTCCTTCCTTCCTTCCTTCCTTCCTTCC